GTTGACAAAAGATCTCTCATTGTTACGTCATAACTGTTGCTTTTTTATCTAATAAAATGCATGTTTTGTTCATTTCTCCTTGCCTTGCCATATGCGGTGCTGTGCACTGATATGTACGAGTATTTGAACTCTACTCTCAACAATCACAATAATAACACGTACTCCACAAACATTCTCGATCAAATGTCAATTTAATTAACCACTACTGTACGAATGTCATACCATTTATATATATATATATATATAGGTGGGTTACCTACAATGCAAAGAGATGGCGCTGCCTTGCAGCTTAAGGCTAGGAAAATTTCGACGCGGCCAATAGGGCCGTGGTAGTATAATGGTCAGTGCATTCGCCCGGATTGCGAAGGGTGCGGGTTCGAGTCCCGTCCGCTGCCTGGTCCGCGTGGATGTTTTTCTAGGAAACTTTTCTTTAGATTTAAACATCTAGCAGTTAAATGCTTAAAAATAAATAAAAACATAAAATTATATCATATTTTTTACTTACTTCCACATTTGTTGTTCATAAACTTCTTTGTCTCATGATTGCTTATCATCTCTTCGTACATGTCTGTAGTACGTACGTACATTACGATAGGCGGTGATATACCTATTTTATTTTGTTGCAAAAAGTTATTTTCCATTTATCTGTTTGCTTTGCCGGTCTTTATCAAACATACAGGCTGATCTATACTAATATTATAAAGTGGAAAGATTTTATTGTTTGTTTGTTTGTGTTGAACAGGCTCCGAAACTACTGGACCTATTTGAAAAATTCTTTCACTTTTAGAATCCTGCATTATCCCTGATGAACATAGGCTATAGAGTATTTTCAAAAAAGTTAGGGTTCCGTTTGAAAACTTACGCTAACGTAACCCAGGGTGTGAAAAAAACACCAAAAAATAACCTCATATCGCTTACTCTGCCTAAACATACGTGATTTTTGTGTAATTTACTCATTTACGCAGCGCACGCAACGGAAAGTCACAAATGGAATATTTTTACCCGTTTTTGCAACATTTTACCGTACAACCGGTCCTAAAGTAGGTACGCAACAAAATTTTCACTATCAGTTAAATAAATTATTATTATGGAAGGAATCAAGCCTGAGAACAAAAACTATAGTCTGTCTACAGTCCTACTGTCTGTTCCATACTAGACATGTCGTCGTCGCCATGCTCCTGTCCTGTCCTGGTTATTTTATTTCTACGATTTGTTTGCAACTACGGTAAGCTGTGCACAGCATTTGTGGAGATCACACCCTAGATTCCTTAATTGTTTGAACGGGAGCGATCGATAAGACACGGTGGCATTGACCGCTGCACAAAGTCCCTCCCCGCTCCCCCGCACGCCGCCGAGCTGCGCGTGCGCCGCGCTGCCAGCAGCGGCAAGCGACCGTGTCCGCGCCTGCCTGTTTATTTTGGCAACATTGCGCGCGTCGGCGTCGATTGATTGATGCGATCGATTGCTCGCAATTATCTCGACGAACACACGATGTCATGCGTGCATGGCGCGTGCTGCCTGGAACGATTCCCATTTAGGCTCAATAAAATCCCACGTATGTCAGATTATACATTTTCATGTTACTGTAGTTAAGACTTGATCTAAGAAATAATGCAAAATTTCGCTCGCATAACGCAGATGATAGCAAGTTAATGGAAAGTGCACCGATTTCCATAGTAATGAGGTCTCGTCTGGCGCCGGCGGCGATGCTGATACATTTACAAGTTGTTATATTTTCCTTTCACTCTTTTGTAGAGTTTCTCGTTTGAAGAAACCGTCTGTAAAAAAAAGTTGCTCCACCCTTCACTGAGCCGAAAGTAGAGCCTTTGGTGACAAGAGGTCATGTACCTAATCCAAGTGAAATAAATACAGATTTAAGCAATAAACAAACACAAAATTAGAAAAGCCTGCAAATAAGCCTTCCATAACTCCATCCTTCGGAATTCACATTCAAATGAGATTTATACAGATGAACTGTAAATTAAAGCCGAAGTAGCTATGTGCTTATCAACTTAGTTACAAACATTCATCTGAAGCGCCATTGTTTTTTGAAATTCATCCAATCAAACTTATCATACTCTATAGATGGCCTATGTCACCCATAATTATGTTACGGTGGGATACTTCTATCCTTAAAAAATAAATTATAGCATGCTGAGATGAGAACGTACATTCACCAACTAGTTCGTATATTGCAAACTTCCAGTTTCAAACAGAAAATTTATGTATGCGGAGTATACCTGCGTAAACGGTGGAACCATTTAAAATTTGGATTCACAAGGCTTAATTGTTTCGGAGTCGTTGACTCCTGCCCGATACGGCTATATCGAGACACGGTCGTTGATGTGAGTCACTCGCTTCTTTCGGCCCGAGGTTCTAGTCGCCAGATCAATGGGACCAGCTGATGGATATCTGTCTCGGCGTTTTAAAAATGATGATATGGGTTACTAATTAGTATATACTTGACTTTTGAACTACTTGGATGATAAACCCAGTCGTGCATTAGATAATATGACTACAATGTAGATAATGTCTTCGCCTGGAAAGGTCCCAATGTTAATTACTTGGACATTGTCGGTGTAGTTTGAGTATGCAATTCGAGATTGTATTGATAGTGATCCGTCGATGTCAGCGGTGGTGGCATAGTGGGTCAGATGACGTGTGTGAAAGGTTGTCCCGCGTGGCAGCGGAGGCGGTGACGGCGGTTAGGACGGCGGCTCGGCGAAGCGCGAGCGCCGATCGCTCGCTCATTCCGCCGACATGGCGCGCCCCAAGCAGTCGCCCCGTCACGCCGCTCAGTACGAACCCCTCCCGCCCCGCGGACCAGGTATCACTGAACATCACTCAAACTCACCCGCTCATCCCTCGGGACGCTGCTCCGTCGATCACCCCGTCTCCTTCACCTGTGTTATGTGTTAGAAATCGTGACGTTTAACGCCCCGTCGAAGACGTGACACTTAGTGCTAACGTGGACAGAAGGAAGGAACATATTGATAGATAAGAGTAAACATCGAAGCCTTACAGAGTCGTGTAGTGAAATCGTGTACGTCTCACTGAAATCACCGTGTGTCTGTTGCATTGCATGTTTTTGTGGGATAGTGTTATAGATGTAGTTGCCGTGCATCACAAAAGTGCTGTCCCGATATTATAGTGTTCGCACGATAAGTAAAGTAGGAATCGATTCACGCACGTGTAGTTTGGCTGTTCCATTATCGACCTTATTTTCTGTTGGTTTTGTGAAAATGGTTTTTTTTTTACCTAGTCGGATGTACGTGTTTTGCATACTTCCTCCCGGGTGCGTGGGCATGCAGAACACACGCATGCGTGAGTTGGCGGCGACGGCGGCGGGCGTTCCCTTTCTATGGAACCGGTTGCCGGCTGACGGACCACAATCAGCCAGCCAAAGTCGTTGGACTTATGATGGGTGTTGTGGTCTAGAGGCGTGGGTTTTACGGTGCTTCATGCCATGAGCGACTTTATAACGATATAAGAAACAGGCGACGGCTTTAATTTTTCATATTACTGGTGTGGTGATATTGGTGGTTGGCATTAAACAATAGTAAAAATTCGAGCTAAACCATCCCATAATTTTCCATGAGAATCTTAGCCGTCTGCTGTCTCTATGTCTTAGCTCGTGTGTTTACCTAGTTACGGTACGGGTGTACTATTCATTTCTGAATCAACATCAGGCAGTGTAATGTGATAGTGAAGTAAATAGGAAATCTGATATGTTTGTTTTTGTAATGGATTCTTAATGATCAATCTTAGACCGGCCTTGCATGAGTAGCACAACATGATCATGATACAGTTATTTATTGACTTTCTTCCTTTAAAAAACCCCGTATCATATCGTCATACTACTGGCGTTAGTAAAATCCGGTAAACTTTTTAACCATAAACTGTAGACCACGGAAGCTACGCTGTAGCAATTTTATATACAAAAACGTCTACTATGAAGACTTATTTGTCTGTGGTTTTGCTCAGGAATTTGTACTACCTACTCGTATAGCGTAAACCGTGAGCAATCTGCGCAGTAGCAATTTAACATACAACAAAACCATCTACCGCGCAAGTAATACCTCTGTAATTTTGCTCAAAAAGTTTGCCCCACCTATATGTGTAATTATAATAGTAAATAATAAAAAAATGATTATTTAGAACATTAACAAAATTTAAGTTATTTACGGGATTGTTACCATGTACCTTGTTTTTAGTGAGTTTCCGATATTTCGGCACTGTTGCAAGCGCCATGATCACTTCAGTTACTCCGTAATCATGGCGCTTGCAACAGTGCCGAAATATCGGAAACTCGCTAAAAACTAGGTACATGGTAACAATCCCGTAAATAACTCATATTACTATAATGTTAGTGACCATGAAAGTTTAAAACAATATATTAAAAAAATCATTCATAAGATTTATTGTGTCGTTAATACCCGCATTAGTCTCGAAGATCTGATTTGAGACTGTGTACCCAAACAGTCTTAGACTCTTCGTCTTTAAGACTTTAAGCAGGTTGCCTGCTGCCACTATGGCCACCCTGCTTTAACTTCACTGTTTATTTCTCGCGCATGTTTTCTGAGTCTGAATCTGAGTGCACTCTGGCCGTACCCTATCGCAGGTCCGCCCAAACTAGAAACAAAGCTATCAGATACAATAGAGAATTAATTTGTGATAATGCATGTTGGGTGTGTGAGGAGCTCGATGGCGCAAGTAGTTAGCGCGTTCGGCTACGATCGTTGAAGTTAAGCAACTTTCGCAGTGGTTGGTCATTGGATGGGTGACCAAAAATTTACTATCTCGAGCTCCTCCGTGCTTCGGGAGGCACGTTAAGCCGTCGGTCCCGGCTGCATCTGCAGTCGTTAGCACCCACCAATCCGCACTGGGCCTGCGTGGTGGGTCATGGCCCAATCTCCCTATTCCATCCATGGGGAAGGCCTGTGCCCTAGCAGTGGGGACATTAATAGGCTGATGATGATGATGATGTTGGGTGTGCACAGTGGAGTCGCTGATCTACTGGCGCAACGCGGCGCGGTCGGGGGCGGCGCTGGGCGCGGGGCTGGCGCTGCTGGTGGCGCTGGCGTGCTGCAGCGTGGTGTCGGTGCTGGCGTACGGGTCGCTGCTGGCGCTGTCCGCCGCCGTCGCCTTCCGCATCTACAAGAACGTGCTGCAGGCCGTGCAGAAGACCAACGACGGACACCCATTCAAGTAACAATTTTATTTACTTATTTACTAATTTAGTACACACACAATAAAACAGATAAATAGAACGAGAACAAGAAATTTGTACAAGGGCACTGCTTATTTCATATTGAAATTTCTTCCAGCAACTATCCTTTTTCAAGTTATACTTCTTTAGCCGCGTTATGAAAAAATTATGAGAGTGAAATTTTAAGATGCGCGCGCATCACTGTAACACAAAAGTAACATAATGAAGTTAGCCGCGGGCGCGTTATGAAAAAATTATGTGAGTGAAATTTCGAGATGCGCGCGCATCACTGTAACACAATAGTAACACCATGAAGTTGGCCGCGGGTGCGTTATGAATGTTAGTGTCTAATAATGGTGGATTATTAACCACTAAGTGGTTAATAATCTCTGTTCGAAAGGTACTTTGAACGATCCACGGAGCTCCATAAGATGATCGCGTTGTCAAAAACAATGTTGGCACGCTCGTCGCCTCTGATCACTGTTTTCATATTTATAATATTTATCCACATGTTTCTAGTTTCTATATAGACACAACATGTTTTAGTTACTTACAAGTGCTAATTACATATGGACTAATAACTTAAATTCAGTAGTGATTTTAATTGAATATTTTGAATATTTATTTAATTTTTCAAATTAAAACTGAACTTAATTGGCTGTGTTAACTATCCTTTTCCAGTCCTTTTATTATTTTATTGTAATTATAAATTATTTGCATGCAATTAAAAAATATTTTTAATGATGCTAAAGAAGTATAACTTCTCACGCGCGTACATAAGTTACACGCATCCATTTTTTTTATGTTACTCGTAGGGGGCCGTTCAAGTATTACGTAAGCAGATTTACTACAATTATTTACCCCCTCCTCCCCCTTGTCAGCAAAAGTAAGCAAAGCCCACCCCACCCTCCCGTGCCTACGAAAACATTGGTATTGGTGCCTCTATATGCATTTTTCCTTTGATGTTTTCTGTTTTTTTTTATTCATTCATGAGCTTTCATGAGCAAATAGGCTTAGGATAGAGGACTTTAACGCACATAGTATTCATTTAAACAAACTTTATTGACACAGTATTCAACATAGAGTGTGGTACAAATATTATAATCTTATTAAGTATGATTACGAACAAAACTAACTTCTTCCGATTTTTTGATATACTTACATATTAATTAAACAAATTAACAGTCTTCAGCTTAGCTCTAAGGTCTTCAGTCCATGACACCAAAATCCATCCATCATCCATGATGCTGACGTAATCACTATTTCGACCCCCTACCCCCCCATGTCATCAAAAATAAGCAAAGCAAAGACCCCCTGCCCCCTTTAGTGCTTACGTAATACTTGAACGGCCCTAGGGGAATGCGTGACGGGTGCGGAAACGCGGAAGAATCCCTAAACGGGGATCTCGCGGCTAATGGAGTTAGCTGACACCCTGGATTAAGACATAGACTAAATTCATTGCTATTATTTTTACTGTTGATACACATTTTTTTTCCCTGATAAACCGTGGAGAACACCGCGGGGCACAGTTTGTTAACAAATAATTGTAAAGTGTGTACTGTATACCTAGTAAGCTCGGCGTTGAGTTAAGTCTCAACCCGCCGAGTGCACGTTCTCTAGCGAGCGCGGTTCGATTCCCGTTAGGTGCGCCCGCGCACCTCCCATTGTTCCCTGTCGGTAGTGCGGCCACTGCTCAATTTATAGGGATGTCGAAAGTTGAAAAAAATATCGATATATCGATACATAGATATTTTAAAAAATATCAATATCGGCTTCGATATATCGCGAAAAAAACATCGATATATCGGACCAATTTTCCCAAAAATATCGCTCACGAAATATGACACGCGGAATAATAATGGAACGAAAATTATCTCCCTAAAAATAGACCCTATTTTCGAATGATGACATATACAATACTAAATACCGCACAGATCATAGATATGTTGTATATCATTAATCTGAGATCCAGTTAAGATTTTTCCAGATACGAATTTAGTTAGATCGTGATATGCCGCTAATAATTAAAAAAATATCGTTTTTGATATGAATTTCGATATTGGTTATTTTGTATCGATGTATCGATATATGGAATCAAAATATATCGGCAAAAAATATCGATATATCGAACAAAAAATATCGATATATCGATACATCGATATATTTTCAACAAGCCTATCAATTTATAGGTTTCAAGTTTCCTCATGAAGGTGACCATTATTTTGTATAGTATCAAATGAATCGCGGTCTATTTTTACCTTGTTGACAGTCCTGAACATTATTCAAGCATAACTACTTTGTCATCTCGTAGATAGATTGTTTAGAGGAAAGTCGCCAAATATGAAATAGTATCCTAATATGGAATATCTTCATTTCTCTAAGACTATAAGTATGAAACGCAACACTCGACCATCTTTTGTTTCATTCGGTCTACTAACTATCTCACTCACACCACCGAGTCAGTTGCGCGAACGCTTCACGTGTGGCAGGCGTGTTTTGTTTTGTTGTCGTGCAGAAAATTTTTAAGGTAAGTAATAAATGAATATTATCAGTTGTTATGTTTGTATATATAAGTGTTATACTATTTATTATATCGGTTTTATGTTTATTGCACCATTTTGTGATCTTTTGTCATTAAAATATTGTGACTTGAAAAAATATTTAGATGAGTTTCAACTAGTATAAAAATCCAAATATGGACAGTCGTCGGTGTCTAATTATGGAATATTCCATAATTAGATCTTAATATTTCATATGATAGATACTTGCTATTATTTCCTTAAAAATATATATATAATGTTTGTTTTTAGAATGTCTGCTTCACAATCAACCAAACGAAAAACCTGGGATGAAGAAAAAATGGCACAAGCTATAAAATTCGTCCGGGAAAAGAAAATGGGGTATTTGAAAGCGGCACAGCACTTTCAAGTGCCTAGGACAACTTTATTTCGTCTCTGCCAAAAAGATGAACAGTCTCCAGAAGTGGCAGCAGCTACTACTTTAGGACGAAAAACTATCTTGGGCTCCGAACTTGAACGTCAGCTAGTAGAATACATACTAATAATGGAGAGCAAGTTTCACGGTTTAACAAGAACTGATCTACGCCGTATGGCGTTCATGCTAGCAAAGCGAAACAATTTGCAGAATCCCTTCGGTGAATCAGGTATGGCTGGAAAAAAGTGGTTAAAGTTATTTTTAAATCGTCATAAAGATAAACTTTCGATAAGAAGACCAACTGGTACATCATTTGCCAGAGCATTTGGATTTGATAAAGAAAAAGTGGAAGCCTTTTTCAGCCTCCTGGAAGAGCTTTACACTAAAAATAACTATCCACCAAATCGTATTTACAACGTGGATGAATCAGGCCTCACAATAGTACAAAGTAAGATACCACAAATCATCGGCCACAAAGGTAAACGCCAGGTAGCCGCACTGACTTCAGCAGAAAGAGGATCTCTGATGACAATAGTTGTTTGCATGAATGCTACTGGTCATTTTGTGCCACCGTTCATTATTTTTCCCAGAAAAAATATGAGTGCTCAGCTAATGAGAGGCTGTCCTCCAGGATCAGTCGGAGTTGCACATCCATCAGGGTGGATACAAATGAACATCTTTACAGACTGGTTCAAGCACTTTATTCAACACACCAACCCGACTCCTGAATCGAGGGTTTTACTGATACTAGATGGACACTATAGTCATACTCACAATATCGATATAATAGATATTGCTAGGGAAAATAACGTGGACATAGTTTCGTTACCTCCTCATACGACTCATAAGTTGCAGCCGTTAGATAAGACTTTCATGGGGCCTTTAAAAACATACTATAGTGAGGAAATACGCATGTGGATTAGAGACAACAACAGACCTCTAAGTCCATATGATATTGTGGAGCTGTTTGGCAAATCCTATTTGAAAGTACAAACAGGCGAAATTGCAGCCAACGGGTTCAAAGTCACTGGATTGTGGCCTTTAAATAAAAATGTCTTCAGTGATGTGGACTTTATTGCTGCGCAGCAAAATGCTGTAATAGACGGTTGTACAACCAATATCCCTCCGCTGGAATCAAGATCTAAAACTGGTCAAGTTCTGGTAGAAATACCTGCACCACAAACAACTGCTAATTTACAACCTGAACCTGCACCTTCGACTTCTGGGCTTAATCGCAGCAGTTTGGGTCTGGTGTCTCCGCATGCCATAAGTCCAGTGCCAGAGAAACGAAGAAAAGTATCTAGCAGAGGAAGAAAAGCTGCTGTAGCAACAGTCATAACATCTTCTCCCTACAAAAATGATTTAGAAAATAAAAATATGAAGAGACAAAAAAAAGAAAGTAAGCTAGTCAAGACAAAGAATAAGAAGAAAACTGCGAAGAGAAACAAACAAACGAAGAAAAATAAGGATGATAGTGAAGAAGAAGACTCTGAGGAACTAGACGTTATCCAGTTTGATGAAGGTAGTGAACATGATGAGTTGATGGACCAAGTACCTCCTGACTCTGCTGATGCAGAATGTATGTTCTGTTCAAGACTTTTTTCCATGGATAAAAGTGGAGAAAGCTGGATTAAATGCTTGATATGTGGACTCTGGGCACATTATGATTGCGCTGGTCCAGAGTTTGATACTTGGATCTGTGACTTTTGCAAGTAATTATGTAACTTCTTTTATTTATCACAATATTTTATATTCATTTAATTGATCTCAAAGATATTAATGTCTATTTTTGTTATTGTTATGTTGATTTATGTTTATATTCCATATATGGGTACCTATTCCATATTTGGTTACTCATTTGTGATTTTTTCTTTGTGTTAGATTTTAATTTGATAACTAATATATTTGATTAAAGGCTGTTAATTACTAAATATAAATATATGACTGATTAATAAAAACATTAAACTGATTTAATTTGTATGAAGTTTTTTTTTTATATCCCAAAAACAAAATGGTATTCCATATTTGGTGACTTTCCTCTATTTATAAAGCTGTTAACTTTTGATTGAGTGATCGTCAGTTGATATTTATTAGCTAAGAAATAATTATTATAAACTTATATAAGTATATACATAATTATTAAGAATCGTATTTTGCAAAGTAATTTTACGCACATATACCTACAGTACCTACGTGAATAGTTCGCGCTTATGGGAGCCACATGTGTTTGTACAGCTATACCTACTTGGTTTGCCTTAAGTACACAACGATTTGATTAAAATATTGTTTCATTAATCGCAGGATTTATAGGTATCACATTAATGTTTAGAACGATATTCAATAGGCTGTAATGACAAAAATGTATAGGTTATAGCAACATAAAAAATAAGGCTAATCTGGAAAGGAGAATCTATGTTTTCACATCGGGGTATAATAGGGATGATGACTATTTCTTTTTTCTTCGTTCATCAGGTAGATTATCAAAAAGTATTGGACACGTATTTTTTCTTTTTTCACATAATATAAACATTGCAGAGATATATTGATTTGCAAAGTCGCATGACGTCACGTTTGAGTACACTTTTAAATGAAAATTCACGAAAAAGTGACGTCACGAGCCCCTACTCTCAAACTTTGACGCGCTATAACATTGTAATTTTTTTATTTGATTGCCTAAAGAAAAGATACGTCCATTATTTTTTGATCATCTAACTGACGGACTAAATATAATTTCGTTTACTGTACCCCGTCATCACCCCCATTTACGTTACCTAAATCCATCCTCCAAATCCGCGTTAATAGTTCACTGAGGCTCCTCTTCCACTGAGTGTTATGCCTTCCTTCGCTCGCAGTAGCTGGTTATCGGATGGGTGACCTAAAATGTTTTATCTTGAGTTCCTTCGTCCTCCAGAATGCACCAACCCGCACTGGGCGAGCATGCTGCGTCGTGCATGATCCAATGTCCATCCATGGGGAGACCTGTGTTGCAGCAATAAGTTCACAGCTGTATCAGTTCTAAAACTGCATTGTGTACGAGCTGAGTGTACGTCTATTTGACCGATAAATATTGTGTACCCAGTTTTATGACTTTTTCAAGTGCGTGCAAATCGACTCAATGATGGTTCAGTCATGACTTTTAGTTGGCTATTGAGAAGCTCGATGGCACCAGTGGCAAGCGCGTTTGGCTGCGGTCAACGTTTGAAGTTGAGCAACTTTCGCAGTGGTCGGTCATTGGATGGGTGACCAAAAATTTACTATCTCGAGCTCCTCCGTGCTTCGGAAGGCACGTTAATCCGTTGGTCCCGGCTGCATCTGCAGTCGTTAGCACCCACCAACCCGCACTGGGCCCGCGTGGTGGGTCATGGCCCAATCTCCCTATTCCATCCATAAGGAAGGAGTGTGCCCCAGCAGTGGGGTTATTAATAGGCTGATGATGATGATGACGATGATGATGATGATATGAATGATGGGTCACGGTCTGCCTGCTTGTTCCGCAGATGGTTGCTGGAGAAGGAAGTGAGTGTCCCCGCGGAACGGGCGCAATCACTCGCCGCCGCCGCCACCGCGCACCTCAATGCGGCACTGCACGAGCTGCGCCGGTATGTACTCCACACACTGCACTACACCACACACACACGACATCACATACTGCACTACACTACACACACCCGACATCACATACTGCACTACACTACACCACACACACGAAATCACATACTGCACTACACTACACTACACACACACGACATCACATACTGCACTACACCACACACACACGACATCACATATTGCACTACACTACACCACACACACACGACATCACATACTGCACTACACTACACCACACACACACGACATCACATACTGCACTACACTATACTACACCACACACACACAAGACATCACATACTGCACTACACTACACACACCCGACATCACATACTGCACTACACTACACACACCCGACATCACATACTGCACTACACTACACCACACACACGAAATCACATACTGCACTACACTACACTACACACACGACATCACATACTGCACTACACCACACACACACGACATCACATATTGCACTACACTACACCACACACACGAAATCACATATAATACAATCACATTAAATGGCTACACGATAAGATGTTTTATAGTGTAAAAGAATATTTGAGTGATTGTAACTAGTGACATTTTAATGATATATAATTATAGTAGGTTCTTCTTTTTACCAAATGGTGCTTTATAATTGACATTGTAATTTTTGACATTATTGATATGACTTTTTTTTTTTTTTATGTATGTATTTAATTTTGAATGATGTTTTATAAAATGAAGCGGACACTTTTTGTAATTTCACTGACTTATTATTTACTTGATAAATTTAAATTTATTGTTATTGATATTGAAAAATGATTTCACAATGTTGATTAATATGTATTACGTTTAATTATGTAGTATAAAATATTTGCATGCTATTTAAGATGGCTGAATGGGCCGAACTTCAAAATTTGTAAGATCCCCAGTGTACCCTATTCAAATGCAAATAAATAAATTCTAATTCTAATTCATACTGCACTACACTACACTACACACACACGACATCACATACTGCACTACACCACACACACATGACATCACATATTGCACTACACTACACCACACACACACGACATCACATACTGCACTACACCACACCACACACACACGACATCACATACTGCACTACACTATACTACACCACACACACACAAGACATCACATACTGCACTACACTACACACACCCGACATCACATACTGCACTACACTACACACACACTACATCACATACTGCACTACACTACACCACACACACACGAAATCACATACAGCACTACACTACACCGCACACACACCCAACATCACATACTGCACTACACTAAACACACACGACATCACATACAGCACTACACTACACTCAACCACCCCCCTTGACACGCCTATATACTCCCCCGTCCTTCACGACAACGGCTAAATTGAGCGGAGGTCCGAGTCTCCGACACGCCCCCTCAGGCTCGAATGAATGGTCTAGTGGTTCCAGACGGAGAGGAAACTCCCCGCGTGGGGAGATGCCATCCGCCTGGAATCGCACTTGCCAATTCACGACTTGATGTCCCTTAAGCATCTCGCCGGCACCGTCCCCAAAGCCGGTATCGCTGTAGATGTCACCTAACTACGACCAACAGCAGCATACACAACAAAAATCTACAGTCAACATTTTGCTTTCAAATGTACGGCGTACATGTTACTCTAGTAAATATGGCGTGTTTAGAGACAGACGTCACACGGCTGTCATTAAAACGTTAAATAGTACAAAGTAATGTCACATGGTCAGCATGTTTACAAGCAGGAGAGGTCGTTTCAGACTCTGCCATCCCTAGGCGTTTTCAATCACGTGACAATACATAAAAAAATACTTTTTCATTTTATGATTTTCAGTAATATTATCAAAAGTTTTACTAGAAAAAATCCACGCGGACCAGGCAGCGGACGGGACTCGAACCCGCACCCTTGGCAATCCGGGCGAATGCACTGACCAATTATGCTACCACGGCCCTGATGGCCGCGTCGAAATTTTCCTAGTCTTAAGCTGCAAGACAGCGTCCGTTGCCTGGTCCGCGTGGATTTTTTCTAGTAAAACTTTTCTTTAGATTTAAACATCTAGCAGTCAAATGCTTAAAAATAAATAAAAACATAATATTATCAACTTCTTTTTTAATGTCAGAATATTAATATGGTCTCTAATGCGAATTCATGCGAATATGGCAAATATTAATTGATAAATTAGGTACATTTATCATTTACTTGTACATTATTTGAAGTTGACATCAGATATTATAAAATATTATCAAAAGCAAACATAATGGTTTCGAGTTGCCGATTCCTTGTTATTATCAAGCACATAATATATTATATAATAAAATGTTTTATCATCACTGAAATTGTTTTCGTAAGTTTAGGTAAGTTATTAAAAAGCGATTAAGTAGTTTAAAAATTACACGCGCATATAAAATGCGACGAGGCGACCTTAAAACTGTGTCATGATAATGAAATAGGTACAGTATTAAAACATAATTATTCACGAATGGGCATACAACAGTACAGTACACTATCTAAAATTCTAAATGATTGTAGGTTGCCCCAGCATTCGGGCCGATCGCTTCTCAAAATAAGTTTATAAAGAATAGAAAATGAAACACAGCGTTTACCTTGAGTAACGACACAAAAAAGCGTTGTATTGAATTACCACTATATTAATTTTACATAAATATCCAAAAACATCTTCAATAAAAAAGTTAATTTAGTTCCTGTCTAGCTCAACAGATGGCGTTAGTAGTACACAAAGACTGAAATTAGATACATTGTATTTTAGAGATTTTTAAAAGGTTTTAATAAATAATTATATTTGACGACCTCCGTGGCCGAGTGGTTTGTACGCCGGGTTTCATGGTGTCGCCGACTCGAGAGGTCCCGGGTTCGAATCCCGGTGGGGGCAGATGTTTTTGTGATGACTACGAGCATTTGTACTCCAGTCATGGACGTTTAATATATATTTCTATAAAAATATAATTATGTATGTACTGTATATGTATTCTATCCGTTACCCTAGTATCACATAACACAAGCCTTACAGTGCTTACTTTGGGGCTAGGTTAATTGGTGTGAGTGTGGAAATATTTATTATTATTATATTATTTAATTATATCTTTTCTTTTTATAACCTACTAGCTGACCCGGCGAACTTCGTACCGCCTTAGCGTAGCTTTGATGCACTACTTTGACATTGACATTCGTTACGTTATATTTTTCAATCTTTCTGAGAGATTTTCTTTATATTTTTTTCCGTAAGAACCTTGTACAGAGTATTAGAAAACTACAAAAAAAAAATCAGCCAAATCGGTCAAGCCCTTTTCATGTTATGTCGTGACAACGGAAAACGGGTTTCATTTTTATATATATAGATTAGTAATATAAAGCACAGACTCAGAAATGCCTCGCCTAGAAAGTTTGTTTTAATATAATATCTATTTAGATTAGTAATCTTTCCTTACTTTGTTTGTAGCGGCTGCTGGCTAGTTAAGTTAATTAACTGTTTGTTTGGAGATAACGGCGTATAGGTTCATTCTCCGGAAGGCGCTCCATTTCGAGCGGGAATAAGCAATGCCCTTCTCTGTTATCTTGATGAGGTCATGAGCAAATTACTCAGGCCAGTAGGCCTATTCGCTAACTAAACTAAACTAGTTTAAATATATGAAATCAAATAAAACTAGTTTTAACGATTTAATGCACGATCTTTATTTATATATTAACGTTTCGCAACCTTTTCAGGTCTGCATCGTCAGAATAATTATTTTTTATTTACTTTGTCGAGCTGCCTTCGAAAGAAAATAAAAAGTCATTATTCTGACGATGCAGACCTGAAAAGGTTGCGAAACGTTAATATATAAATAAAGATCGTGCATTAAATCGTTAAAACTAGTTTTATTTAATGAGTGATGTGCGTGAAAACTTAAGAAACAAATATATATGAAATTGATCATACACATACGTATTTTTTTCTAATTTTTGCACGGAGCTCTGAGGCATCTTGACTTTTTAACGGTTCGCGCGTGACTATGAACCAAGAAGCCAAGAAGTGCTTGAGTGGAGTTCAAGCACTTCTTGATTGGGACACATTTTGAGCACACGTGGTGTTAGTGTTGAGTAGGTCTTACAAGAGGCTGTACATTTGTCCCGGACATGACGCCAAATTGTAAGAGCGGCTCAAAATTTTAAAATGTACTACTTCACATTAAATGTCGCGATAGTCGCGTCTCGTTACCCACTCACTCTTCGTAAGTCTGAGAGAGAGAGCGAGGCATGACATTTCATTTAAGTCCTCTACGCACTATCCATCTGTTTTACGTGTATAGCGCTGTCCTGCATGCTGGATCCAGCAAGATTGATAGTGCGGAGAGGAGGTGCTACTCGTGCACACAAACGTAATGTCGAGCTTCTGTACGCCTCAATGTCATATTTGTACTTGTCACTTCAAATGTATTGCCGAGCTTCAGTACGCCTCGCCTCATTTGAAGTGGGACATTGTACTGGCTCAGTACAAAAAAGAGGCTTCTCTTACAAACTCTTTTTCAAGTCGTGTCCTACCCAACACTACGTGGTGTATCTAGGGTATTTAATATCGTTGATGGAAGAAGCCAGCCAGTACGTCCGGTGGGGACGCTGCTAAGTTCCCATAGAAACTTACGGAGCTGTCAAAATTCTTGCTTGGGTCTAAGACCTGGGTTCCGAACCTGGGGGTAATTACCCCTCCAGGGGTAAATCAGCCATACTTCGGGGGTAACAAAGAACCTAATAATTGGTCAAATCTAAATAATAGTACTAAATAGAGAATGCGCTCCTTCTTGCTAGCGAGCCCGCGGGGTGCTGAGTGTGGGAAGCGGGGCGAGATTATCTCCTGATGATGACATTATTAGAGACGAAGATGTAGCGGCCTAATTGGAATTTCTTGGACTGATGGTAACATTTTAAAGTCGGGGTAAAATCTGTTTTCCTAATAGGTTACAGGGGTAGCAGTATTGGAAAGGTTAGGAAACACTGGTCTAAGATTTATGGTGCCATTAAGACACCTGCTCTGAAAAGCATCGTTGATCATGCAAATGTCAAATTAGTTACACACGGTTTTTGCTCTTTCCCATTGTTATTGCAAAGAGAATGACAGCATCAACTTCATTTAAAGTTAATTAACGTCTATCAGTACGACCGTCTGATACGATTAAGTAGATTAGTTCATTTAAATGGGGTATTTGACAAGTTTTAGAAATCGATCTCACGTTATTGACTAATGTTTATGGGAGTCCGTAAAAAGTGGATATTCATCATTCTGTTGTGTATTTCAGAAAAAATAACCAAATCAAAAACTTCATTTTCAAGTTGCCGCGAAAACGTTTCTCTGGACGATATGGCGTCTTACTAGTGGATGACGTCACACGACTGTTATTAAAACGTTAAACGATACAATGTAATGTCACTTTAACCGGCAGTTTACTTGCGTGTGATGTCATTTTAGGCTCCGCCAATCCCAAGCGTTTAGGGTCACGTGACAATAGATAAGAAAACTATTATCTTTTTCGTTGGTTTTTAGTATTTTTTTTGTAAAAATAGTAAAATCCCCTGCCAATATTCATTCTAAACACAGATGCTAACAATTGGCATTTTATTTTTAACTAGCAAACCAGTGAACGAAATGTTCACCAAAACCTGATTTCTCGAAAACCGGAAGTGCTACGTTACTCAAATCCGGTTTGTAGTCTTATCAGACTATTCTTAACTTATAACTTAAATATTCTCTTTATCTATCTCTTACGGTTTGGCCGCTGAAACAGCACCACAGACATAATTCATAATTTTTTTTCATAATTCATCTATTCATTTGTACAAATGCGGTAAAAACATAAAGGTGTACTATCAGATAAGTTCTCACATTTACCATTTCTGGCAGACTTACGGACTTGTCTAATAGATAAGAGATACTGTCAAATACCCTATTCCAACAATAAGTTATATTAATACCTACCAATGTAGCTAATAATGTCCCCGATATAGAACACCTAATTGGATTCAGATTACTGAGTCTATCACTTCGGTGATTACGTAATACTTTATACCTCGCGGCTCGAGTTTGTAGCGATGAGCTGACGTAATACAAGCGACGAAAATATTTTAATCCATAAGATTATTTATTTATCACACTTTGGCTGTCTGAAAGTGAAAATATTACCTATAGAATGTTTCTTTGTATGTATCACATAACGATTCTATATTTTGCCTTGTTTAATTGGTTTACTGTAATTATTTTGCTCTCTTAAAGAATGTGTTCTGGGATAAAAACTATGATATGTCCTTGTTCGGGATGGGACTACAAAAAAAAGATTCTTTATTGCACACACACAAAAGAATACAAAAATGAGTAAACAATAACATAATGTGGGCAAAGGCAGCCTTATCGCTTTAAGTGATCTCTTCCAGACAACCTTTGCGGTAAAGGATAGCTAAACGAAGAGGAAGTTGCAGTATGCCAGCAAGATAAAATAAAGAAATGTACATATTTTCTTGAACATAGAAAGATTAAAAAAGCAATGTGTGCTGGGACTGGGACACATAGTAGAAGCGAATCTATAACGGACAAGTGTCTCTCCCTCCGCCCAGTGTGACCAGATTCAGTATTTTAATACTATATATTTTATCGACTTTTCGGAGCTTCAGTATTGTTGTAGGTACCTATATTGACGGAGGTTTATATAGAAGTTTAACTTCAATAATCTCTAAGTACATTAGACTTCATCTAAATTGGTTCAGCGGTTTAAGCGTAGAGATTCCAAACAGACACATTTTTTGAATTCATAATACGTATTGGTGACAGATTCGTAACTTCGACAATAGTTTGACTTTTGAATGTAGTTTAGTTTCACCAACTATCAGCTCATCTGATGTGAAAAAAAAAATATATACTTTGTTCAAATTACTATGAACCCATTAGAAATTTCTTTTGAACAGTCCATATATTTTCCTACCATTCAGGATATAATATACCTTATAAGAAGAAGAAACGGTGCAAGACATTCTTAAGCATTTAACATCAAAGTCCCTTTGACTGATCTGCTGTGTCGAACGTTACCCGTGTAAATTGGATTATAGTAGTTACCCTTAACGCGCTTTTGGAACAACTCTAGTCGCGACCACTAGTGGCTCAGTCAAGCCACTAAACGTAGCCACAAATCGCAGCCACAAATTGCCGCCACTTGTGGTTGAATGCCGTTTATTTCCGTTGAGAACTTCCAGCAGGAGTCGAACGCATGTGTGTGAAATGGAAACACCATTGCTTTCTTCGTTGTTGGCAGAATACGTAGAAGCAGTGTTGCCACTTTGGTGGTTTTTCCACCAGAACTGGTGCTTTTTCACGGCTTCTAGTGGTATATTTTCATCATCTAGCGGGTAAATTTTTTTAGTGGCTTTTAACATGAAATCTAGCAACATATTTTTAAGGGGGAAATGCCGTAACTTTCCGAAATTTCATAATGTTCTATGTGGTTACTCACAGTTATTTCTGTAGTATCTAATACATATTCACTGGTTTTTTATTTAAATTAGGGTTTTTTGTTATCAGAGATGTAATTGTAATTTAGCGGATTTTGGTGTATTTTATTAAATCCAAATTTTTGAAATATGGCGATTATTTACCTTTGACTTGGCGCCTTAAAAAAATCCAAGGTGGCAACACTGCGTAGAAGTAGAAAACCTTATCAAATACGAAATCCATCGACATACAATACATCGTGGTATTGTGGTCGAGTGATGCGAGCGACTAAACGTGACTCCCGCAGCGCAGCTCGGAGCTCAAACGTGGCCACTGGAACGCTTAGGTTGCGCCGATACTATACAAAATAATCTCTTATCTATTAGACAAGTCTGTTTCAGCGGCCAAACCGTAAGAGATAGATAAAGAGAATATTTAAGTTATAAGTTAAGAATAGTCTGATAAGACTACAAACCGGATTTGAGTAACGTAGCACTTCCGGTTTTCGAGAAATCACGTAATTTCTATTTCAAACGAAACCACACAAAATCTCCGAAGTTCTCAATTAATTAAATACATTTTTTTTTAAATCAGGGTTTGGTGAACATTTGGTTCACTGTTTTGCTAGTTTTTATTATTTTAAAGCATGTAACTGCTTGATGTTTAAATCTAAAGAAAATATAACTAGAAAAAATTCCACGCGGACCAGGCAGCAGACGGGACTCGAACCCGCACCTACCTTGCAGCTTAAGAATGGCTAGAAGAATTTCGACGCAGTCCGTGAGGGCCGCGGTAGCATAATTGGTCAATGCATTCGCCCGGATTGCGAAGGGTGCGGGTTCGAGTCCCGTCTGCTGCCTGGTCCGCGTGGAATTTTTTCTAGTTATATTTTCTTTAGAACTATACAAAATGTATGAAATAACTCGACCGCAGCTTATGGTCGCGTTTAGCGGTCTTTTTTTTAGTATGTATGCTGTTGGTCGCAGAGGACCTTTACAGCATCACCGGGTTTGATCCTAAGGGAACCTCAAGCCGATAATTGGCGAGTGCCTCTGGAGGTATTCCAGGCGGATGGCATCTCCCCACGGGGGGAGTTCCACTCCGTCTGGAGCCTCTAGACCACTCGAACCTGAGGAGTTTAGCGGTCGCTACGTCTCAACGTGTGGATAATTCAGTTAAATCGTTTTTCTATTGCCATTTAAGAGAATCTTATATATAAAATTCTCGTGTCACAATGTTAGTTACCATACTCCTCCGAAACGGCCTGACCGATTTTTATGAAATTTTATATGCATATTCCGTGGGTCTGAGAATCGGCTACTATCTATTTTTCATATCCATAAGTGATAACGGTTGTCCACCTGTAACGTAGTGTTCTGAAACCTACAATGCGCCTTCGCGCCAAAATTCAAACTATTTAATTTTTTTTGGACATATTTTTTTTTATAATGTGGTATTAAAACGTACATAAAACAATAAATTTTCTCTTCTACCACCTTCCTCTATTTTTATGGCGGTACGAAGTTCGCTGGGTCAGCTAGTAATATATTAGTTTTCTAGTAAACTTTTCTTTAGATTTAAACGTCTAGCAGTTAAATGCTTAAAAATAAATAAAAACATAACTATAATTGCTACTTCTTCTTTCAAATGTTTAATACTTGAAAAAGTATTCATTTGACATTGTGGGTTACCTACAATGCGAAGAGATGGTGCTGCCTTGCAGCTTAAGGCTAGGAAAATTTCGACGCGCCGAATAGGGCCGTAGTAGCATAATTGGTCAGTGCATTCGCCCGGATTGCGAAGGGTGCGGGTTCGAGTCCCGTCCATTGCCTGGTCCGCTTGGATTTTTTCTAGTAAAATTTTCTTTAGATAGTAATAATATATTTATATGTATTATGTCGTCAGACTGTTCCTGGTTGAGGACCTGGTGGACTCGCTGAAGTTCGGCGTGCTGCTGTGGTGCCTCACCTACGTGGGCGCCTGCTTCAACGGTATCACACTCATCATACTCGGTACGTATAATATAAAAAAATAAAATATTCTCATCAAAAGAACAACATGCAACATTAACTTTAACTTTTGACCGATTTTGAAGTGAAACTTCTTTATCGGCGTTGGAAAAAAATTTACCGTCACATTTTTTCGGACGTTACGCGTCACGTTTTTTGGTTACGCGCCATCTTTTTTAAAAGAGCACTATTTACCTCATCCGAACAATTGCTTCTTCTGTCAACTTTAAAAAAAAAAGTATCGACAGCAAATATTCGTGTTTCACACAAGGTAAGGTAAGGTGTAGTTATACCCCTTTAGTGGGTGAGTTTTGAAAAATCTTAGCGCACGCCTATATATATATTTCTGGAAAGTTGCATGTAGATCATTTTTCCAAAAAAAATAAGGCCATAAAGAAGTTTCACTTCTTACGTGTGTACACTAGTACACGCACACATTTTTTTATAGGGTTGATCTCAGATGGTCTAGTCGTAGTGTGCCTGATTGGAAGTCATTTCCAGATCACCGATCGACCGACCGATCATAGGACCAGGTCCAGATCTTTAATTGACTACATTGCAAAATGCCTAAGATCGCAAAATGACTAGATCTTTATTTCATCATCATCATCGACCCATGCTCGTCCACTGCTGGACATAGGTCTCTCCTAATGCACGCCACTGCTCCCGATTTTCTGCCACTCTCATCCAGCCCACTCCAGCCAGCCTATGAATGTCATCATCCCATCTTGTCTCAGGGCGTCCCACACTACGTTTACCGAGTCGCGGTCTCCACTCAAGAACTCTACGGCTCCATCGGCCGTCAGTTCTGCGGCTAATGTGACCAGCCCACTGCCACTTCAGTTTGCTAATTCGGTGGGCTATGTCGGTGACTCTGGTTCTCTGTCGGATTACATCATTTCTGATGCGGTCCTTCAGGGATACTCCGAGCATAGCCCTTTCCATAGCTCTCTGAGCGACTTTAAACTGGTGGACCAGTCCAGCCGTGAGTGTCCACGCGTCTGGGAGGACGCACTGGTCGAAGACTTTCGACTTGAGACATTGAGGGGTGGGAGACGATGAGATCTTTATTTGACAACATGAAATAATGACTAGATCGTAAAATGACTTCATCTTTATTTGATCATATCTTACAATGAATAGGTCGCAAAATGACTAAAACTGATAATTTTGCCCGATAGATTTTTTACCTTATCTCGTTGGGTGTATGATTCATAATCATTTAAGAAAATTATTCACCGTGATAACTACATTGCTCTGTGTGTAATCGAGGTGATGTAAGGTTTATAAATATGTATGTGTAAATTGACCGCGTCCAGAATAGGACAACAGGAAAATATAAATAGGTACTCAACCTTTTCAGTGGTCCGTAAGGGCTTTCTATAAATAAAGGATATTTACCTTGAGGGATGTTTACCTGCATTCTTAATTATAATTATATAATTTTATTCCTTCCTCGCCTCGTGAGAAAGGATCAAAGCAAAATGGCAGCTTTTTTAAAATATATCATGATTAAATATAAAGAAGTTTTACTAGAAAAAAAATCCACGCTGACCAGGTAGCGGACGAGACTCGAACCCGCACCCCTCGCAATCCGGACAAATGCACTGACCAATTACGTACCAAGGCCCTGATGGCCGCGTCGAAAATTTTCTAGCCTTAAGCTGCAATTCAGCGCCACCTCTTCGCATTGTAGGTAACCCACAATGTCAAATGAACACTTTTTTTTCTAGTAAAACTTTTCTTTAGATTTAAACATCTAGCAGCTAATGCTTAAAAACATAAATATATCATTATAATTATAAGCATCGAATAGGCTTTCAAAAACTATTCACCAAGTAGTAAAATAGTCCTTAAATCTGTTTTATCTACACCCTTACCCTCTTATTAAACGAAGACTACGCTTGGATTAGATACTCCATTTTTTGTCTCTATTGAATGAGAAATGGCATTTGAGTGACATGAACAAAACGGTGTAACTAGTCTTAACTTATTCCTTGTTAATTTCTTAAGTTTTCACGCACATCACTCAATAAATAAAACTAGTTTTAACAAATTTAACATAAGAAGGAGATAGGAAGCCTCTCTGAGTTTGTTTCGTCGGTTCTTCTCAGAACGGTCTCCCGATTTTGGAACCGGTGGTAGTTTACGGTAGTTAGGGTGAAATAAATAAACTCAAAATTACAAAAAATAATTTTAAATAAAGTACTTTATTAACTAAATTAACTAACAAATTCATACATAGACAATAAAGTTTTAAAAATCTTCCAATGAAATATCCGAACTGTCAAAAAAAGTCTTTCGCAGGTAGCTCAACAAAGTAAATAAAAAAAAAACAGTATTCTGACGATGCAGACCTGAAAAGGCTGCGAAACGTCAATAAATAAAAAAAGTTCGTCCATGAACCCGTTAAAACTAGTTTTATTTATTCCTTGTTTATTAATAAGGGGTATAGAGTCACGCCTTAATTTCACATTTGGTTTAATCGAGTCAAGCAACGTTTCGGAAAAAGCTTAGCTCACACGATGGTTTCTGAAACAACTTTTCATTATAATGAAATGCTGGACTGAAACCAACACCATAACAAAATGGACTATTTGCTATTTCACCCGTGCAGAGACTTAAAGATTACTCAAATATCGGACATAATAAAGGCGCCTATAAAAAACTAAGTAGGTCTGGAACCGATGGTACGCTAATTGCTAAAAATTGCCTTATCTGTCGAAAGATAGAAATAATAGCGTATTCATGACCGATTGAAAATGCGTGACGCGTACCCCGACGCCTGATAAGCGGCGAGGTTATGTGGGAATGTTCGTGGATTTATCCAACAGAGGTACATTCGATGGGTCTCTCGGAGGCCTACCCACTTAAAACCCCACGGCGCACCCTCGGTTGGGGATTTCAAATTTATCAAATATTTTTTTATTGCGTATACAGGTTATTGTGTCGTGTTCAAGTATACAAATTATATTATGTTCAGCCATATTCTGTCTTGTTGACATGCAATGTTATTTCATTTAGTTCACTATTAATTACATTATTCTAACAATGTCAGTTAAGTACTTATATTAATCTAAATTGAAATTATAATTTGATAAATGAGATGTCTAAGACACACGGGGATGATACCCGAGACATAATATCCGAGTCACCGGGCCAGCCACTCCCCTGAGGGCTAACTAGAGCCGAGGTCCGAGTCTCAGAGATGCCCTCAGAGGTGCCCTCTAGTTGAGCCGACCCCCTCAGGTTCGAGAGGTCTGGAGGCTCCAGACGGAGAGGAGACTGCCCCCCGGGGAGATGCCATCCGCCTGGACTGCACTCGCTAATTCTCGGTTTGAGGTCTCCTTAGGATCTCACCGCACCCGGGGACGCTGTAAAGGTCATCTGCGCCCAACAGCATACACACTCAAAAAAATGGGTCCCCCTCTCGGGCAGGAGAAGCTCAGGCGCGTGAAGCCTCACCCCAAACAGGTGATACCGTGTAATGTGCGGGTGGTTGTCAGTCACCACAGTAATGTTTGAGCAAATGCTCATAACTTGATCAAAACTTTGATTTGCTTCGTTGCTCTTGAGTATGATCGCTGATTGGTGCGATTGCTTATCTCGCGTCGTTTGATTGGCTATTGTCTATTAGGTGAAAGTGTAGTGAAGGGCGAGCCGGCGACATCGATTCCCGTATAAACGGTCTATAATCACCCCCTTCTATCCTCTTTCTGTGTTCTGTGGATACACCAACAGTGGATTTTTTTTATATTTAAACGATGATATTTGTAGCAGTGTTGCAACTATACTTTGAACTATCTTAACTGTTGATACTTATGTAAAATGTCACAATATCGATAATATTGTCGATTACAAAAAAAAAAAATACTTTAATTTGATTTAAAATATATACAGTCAATAGGTCTCCTGATATTAATTTATTTATTGCAAATATATGACGAGGTGCAATACTTGTGAAGCTTTGAATAAGCGTATTGATGCGTTGTTCGATGGCGCAAGTGGTTAGCACGCTCGGCTGCGATCGTTGAAGCTAAATAACTTTCGCAGTGGTCGGTCATTGGATGGGTGGCCTAAAATTTACTATCTATCACTCCTTCTTGCCTCGGATGGCACGTTAAGCTGTCGGTCCCGGCTGCATCTTTCGTCGGTCCACATCAGTCGGTGAACTTATGTTCAGGCCTGTACCCCAGTAGTAGCAGTGGACATTAATAAGATGATGATGATGATTGATGCGTTGTTATTGTTATACTAGCAAACCAGTGAACCAAATGTTCACCAAAACCTGATTTAAAAAAAAGTGTATTTAATTAATTGAGAACTTCGGAGATTTTGTGTGGTTTCGTTTGAAATTCGTGATTTCTCGAAAACCGGAAGTGCTACGTTACTCAAATCCGGTTTGTAGTCTTATCAGACTATTCTTAACTTATAACTTAAATATTCTCTTTATCTATCTCTTACGGTTTGGCCGCTGAAACAGCACCACAGACGGACGGACGGACTTGTCTAATAGATAAGAGATGTATTGTATTTTTTGTCGCAGGGTGGATAGCGCTGTTCACGCTGCCGAAGGCTTACGAGATGAACAAGGCGCAGGTGGACGCCAACCTCGAGCTGGCGCGCGCCAAGTTCAACGAGATCTCTGCCAAGTCAGTACATACACACACAGACACACAGATTTTATCACAGAATAGTTATATCAAACACACAGATTTAAGCACAAAATAGTTTTCAAACACACAGATTTAATCACAGAATAGTTATCAAACACACAGATTTAATCACAGAATAGTTATCAAACACACAGATTTAATCAAAGAATAGTTTATCAAACACACAGATTTAATCACAGAATAGATAAAAACACACAGATTTAATCACAGAATGGATAAAAACACGCAAATTTAATCACATAATAGATAAAATACAGTTTTAATCACAGAATAGATAAAAACATTGAGAGGGAATGGTCGGCGTGGTATGAATATTACAATTTGACAATACTTAAAACACGAATATTGGGAGTCATTATTCGGAAAAAAAGAAGTATTATATACTACTTATTACTTAAAATCATGAATAACTTTGATCTATTGTCACGAGACCAAAAACACCTAAGATAAAATGACGTCTCCTACTTGTAAACATGCTAAAGAAGTGACGTTACTTTGTGCTGTTTGACTTTTTAATGAGAAGCATGTGACGTCACCGGCCTGCAAGGCGCTTTAATTTGCTAGTTAAGTTTTTATGGAGTTACTTTCACTAATAAATAATGTATTAACGTTTTCAAAAACTTGTTGTGATAAGACAAGATGTGGCCGGAAGTATAAAAATTGAAATTTGATATTGTATGCGTAAAATAACCACGAAGAGGGAACTTTATTCAATTCAAATTGAAGAATTCGTATATGAAACATATTTTAGATATTTCATGTACCGTCATTTTTAAACCCCCAGAGCGATAATAAAAATTTTATTATCGCTTTGTGCTCTCTATTTAATATAAAAGAAATAATCTTTCACAGTGAGTAGGCGCGAAGTTGAGCGGTGACATTGTTTTATTGTAACACAAAATTTTATTGACGACCTTTCACCCTTACAATTTTTTTTATCTATTCCGTGAAAACTACGACTAAAATACCTAGTAATAAGCGCGTTCTATCGTCTGTACCACGGCGAGTGTTCTGAGGAGTTATCCTCTCTTATCCCACCTTCTCCATTCCTTCAGAGGACCACGCGCGCTGGCCTACGTTGTCACCGTCTAACTGTGGCCACAGTTGCAACAAGTATAAAGAAATTCATTAACTCATTTCTTTGTCGCTCGCAGATTCGTAAAATGTACCAAGCCGGTTAAAATAGCACTCTTTAAATCATTCTGCCAATCTTTTTATACTAACATTAGTTTTTAAGTATAATCTGTTTGTTACTATACTAACCCACTATGGATCCTTGTTATCCGGAAATAAATGATTATTATTATTATTATTATGCGATAATACATCTAAACAAGTTATCTCGTTCATTGCAGAGTACGTGCGGCAGTACCGCTGGGGCGGAAAGCGGAAGACAAGGACAAGTAGAGCGGCGCTCTCGCTCGCACACCGCGCCACTGGGGGGGGGGGGGGGGATATAAGGGGGGGGGGGTGAACTTATCGCTTTCTGACACATGAACACACTGCGTGGACTGTCGAGTGCGGCTTAAGCCACGTCTGTCTACGAACTATTATTGAATTAAATTATTATTACGCATTTTCTAATGCTACGTTTTCATTTGTAAATACGATTAGATTTTATACTGGGAGCGTCCTGCGGCGGGCGCGGCACGGTGCGGTTCGAGGTTCGGTTCGCGGTACGGTTTTCAGTATGAAATTTGAATGTTTCGCGTCTTGTTAGGATAACGAATTCGAATGTCTATTTATTACTGGATATAATTATTGTCGATGAGAAAATAAATGCTTTCAGTGCCTGTTCCTCGAATATAGTTTTCTTTTTTGTTTTTTAAATGATAATGTTTTATTATTATTAAAATTGTTGTTATTATATGTATCGGGTCGGTCACGTTCGCATTCGCTTCTAAATTTATAATCAGCTTGAGCATTACCTGAGAGATGTTAGAGTTGTCTCCGAATGTTTCCCGCGGCGGGGGCTCCGCAGTTCAAAGAGTTCCCGGAGCCCCTCCGACGGATGTGTTGGACGTTTTCTATGTGGGTATTGTAGCAGTCGATGTTATATCTCGGTATTCAGCAAAAATGATGTGTGCATACAACTTGACAGTTTGTAAAAAGCGTATTATATTATTATTATTAAAATAAAGATTTTTTCTTAAAAAAAACGGCACATTTCATTTTACGCCGCAATTCTGTACCCTTAGCACGAACTAATATCGAATTCAAATAGTTTGCGAATCCAGAATGTCATTGCCAAATTTTGTATGGATACTTGAACAGTAGCGTCACAACGGACGTAACTAGAACTAAAAACCAATACAAATTTGACAATGACATTTCGGACTCGCAAACTATTCGAATTCGATCATGGCTCGTGCTAAGGGCACTCTTCATAATTATTTTTTTGAAAGCGGAGGACCTGAAGCGCAATCACGGATTTGTGACAGCTCCGTAACGTATCGCATCGTCAAATTTTCTGTGAGTACTAAGCAGTGCCCCCTATCGGATGTAAGAAAAAACTAGTTTTTTCTATACAAAATTTGACAAGTGACGGAGCTATCAAAAATTCGTGCTTGGTGCTCTGAAATGAAACTACAGACTTTTACAACTATTAAAATATTTAATCACGGTAACAAACACTTGTACCGATAAGTAACGGGGATGACCTTAAACATTTACAACAATCAATATAAATATTTCCAAAAAAAGTTTTATAAACTTGTAAAACGAATATTATAACACTAAAGTGGGTGGATCTCACTATTATCATTATTCATAGCAGTGGTAATGCAGACTGCACTTTTTTTTAAACTATCTCACCTCCCATTGAATTATAGTACAGTCCATCTGTAGGTTGAGTGGTGAAAAAAAAACCTAAAGGGTAAGTCTTGTTTTTTCTGTTGTCAAATGACGTCAGTAAGCCACCTTGGCGATGGGCATGTTCAACTCGTAGGCGTTTTTTGAAAAACTCAAAAAAAAAATCTCAAAAAAATTTTGAAACGCATTTTTCTTGTTTTGTATGCATTTTAGAAACTTTTTTTTCGACCATAATTGTAGAGGGCGTTGAGTACTACAATTTATGTCATTGTTGCAATCTCGTACAACAAAAAATGCGCATTGTAGGTGGCGCTAAAGTCTCAAAAAAATGTTTTTTCACTTTTTCACCCTGAAAATATCATTTTAATGGAAAACTTTAAATGGAAACGTTGTTCCGTACATAATTACCAACAACTTTTGTATAAACAATTTTTTTGTATTACTTACCGTTTTCAAGTTATAAATTGCGCAGGTATGAAGATCCAATAGAGCGGTTTTGGGCAGTTCTAGTACACATTTGCAGTGCACATTTCAATGTACGTTTTACTATTGTTTATTTTTTTTTGTGATTGAAAAAAAAATAAAAATGAAAAAAAATAATAGTATAAACGTATATTGAAATGTGCACTGCAAATGTGTACTTAAACTGCCCAAAAACCGCTCTATTGGATTTTTCATACCTGCGCAATTTATAACTTGAAAACGGTAAATAATACAAAAAAAATTGTTTATACAAAAGTTGTTGGTAATTATGTACGGAACAACTTTTCCATTTAAAGTTTTCCATTAAAATGATATTTTCTGGATGAAAAAGTGAAAAAACACTTTTTTGAGACTTTAGCGCCACCTACAATGCGCATTTTTTGTTGTATGAGATTGCAACAATGACATTTTAATTGTAGTACTCAACGCCCTCTACAATTATGGTTGAAAAAAAAGTTTCTAAAATGCATACAAAACAAGAAAAATGCGTATCAAAAAATTTTTGAGGGTTTTTTTGAGTTTTTTAAAAAACGCCTACGAGTTGAACATGCCCATCGCCAAGGTGGCTTACTGACGTCATTTGGCAACAGAAAAAACAAGACTTACCCTTTAGGTTTTTTTTTCACTGAAACGATATTTTTTTCGACAGATTGACTGTACTATTACGAAATAACAAATGATAGTAGTGTAACTCATCTTCTACAAAATGTCTCATTATTCCTATTTGCAGCGTTTCCAAATCGTCTGGTGTAGAATAAAAACTGTATATAAATTGGCAAAAGCGACATCAAAAAGAATATAAAGATAACAATATCAATAACATCGAGTCAAGAATTATTGAACTAAACATGCGTCTTCCTGGCCGCGATTAGTCGCGGAATAAACACGCAACGGTAAATAAACAATAAATATTTCCAACACTCACACCAATTAGCCTAGCCCCAAAGAAAGCTTGTGTTATAGGTATACTAGGGTAACGGATAGAATATATATACTGTACTGTGCACCCACCAATCCGCACTGGGCCAGCGTGGTGGGTCATGGCCCATTCTCCCTATTCCATCCATAGGGAAGGCCTGTGCCCCAGCAGTGGGGACATTAATAGGCTGATGATGACTGTACATATATAAGTATACGTAAATAGAAATACATATTAAACATCCATGACTGGAGTACAAATGCTCGTATTCATCACACAAACATCTGCCCCCACCGGGATTCAAACCCGGGACCTCTCGAGCCGGCGACACCATAAAACCCGGCGTACAAACCACTCGGCCACGGAGGTCGCCTATCAATGGAAAAGCTCAACGGCCATAGTGAGACCCACCTTATTAAGTATTTCACAAATTAACAATTTTAAAGGGCCGCTATTTATCCACCCACATACAAATATCTGACATTGTAGTAATTAAAAAGGGCTTTTTTTACAACAGTTTCTTTAAAAAACGTATATAGAATTCATGTTTAAATTAATATTGACCAGAAGTCGATTGCATTTTATTTTAATAACAACATGAGTTTTGAAATTATAGTAATATAAGTTATTTACGAGATTGTTACCATGTACCTTGTTTTAAGCGAGTTTCCGATATTTCGGCACTGTTGCAAGCGCCATGATCACGGAGTAACTGAAGTAATTGCGGGTAGATGTTATTGGCAGAAGAAACAAGGTACATGGTAACAATCCTGCAAAAACCTTATATTACTATAATGTTAGTGTTAGTGACCATGAAAGTTTAAAACAATATGAGTTTTGAAAGTATTCGAAAACTATAATCGACTTTATTTATCTCCCACAACGGAGCTAATTAGAGTATAAGTTATAGGATGCCATGTAAAATAAATCAATAAATAGTTATTAATTTTATTTGCAGCAAATTATAACTCAACTAGCAAACCAGTGAACCAAATGTTCACCAAAAAAAAATGTATTTAATTAATTGAGAACTTCGGGGATTTTGTGTGGTTTCGTTTGAAATTCGTGATTTCTCGAAAACCGGAAGTGCTACGTTACTCAAATCCGGTTTGTAGTCTTATCAGACTATTCTTAACTTATAACTTAAACATTCTCTTTATCTATCTCTTACGGTTTGGCCGCTGAAACAGCACCACAGATAGACGGACGGACGGACTTGTCTAATAGATAAGAGATGATAAGATCTATAACTTTCCACATACTAGGAGAATAATTAAGAAAAAACCAAAACTTTGGAACTTCAGTTTCCGCTAGGGGCGCTGCTGTCTGCTGCGAAAGAGAACCGATACGACCATCGTTTCTGAACACTAACTAAACTCATATTTCATACAAAAGATTTTACGCACAGCCACATGTCAACTTATCCAAATTTATGCGAATTCGAGCTTTATTTAGATTGTTTTAAGATTCAAAATCTATTGAGCAAATATACATTTTCTGGTAACTAAATATATGGCCGTCGGTAGATACAAAGAAAATTTTTGGTTGTTATCGGTCACCCTTGGTCAGTGGGCTATTTTTCTACTTCAACTCTTTCCGCGAAGCCGTTCAAAACTTAAGCAAGTGTCAATATGACATTATTTAAGCTAATTTCGCGGAAGGAGTTAAAGTTACACTATTACGTCCCACAGAGATGCGATTGACAGTTTTAGAGATGCTCATCTCTGATAGTAATACAAATGCCTTTAGTCATGGAGCATTCAATGGCTTGCTTCTACTCCATATCAGAGAACAGTATTTCTAAGCTGCAAGTCGCCTACCTTGTCTTTTGGTACAAGTTTATCACATCGCTCGCACGCTCTTTGAGCTGCGGTCATCTATAACTATATACATATTACCTATACTACAACTAAAGTTCGCAGGCTTATTTAGAGTCTGTAACTTTTACACTAAATACTGCGCAACATTGTCAAAATAAAATCCATTTATACTTGAAACAAATGCAGCCGCGTGATTGAACTTTCGATTTATCTCCGAGCAGGTGCAAGCATTTGATAATAATGCACCTTTACTTAAATAAAACTAGTTTTAACGGGTTAATGCACAAACTTTATTTATTGACGTTTCGTTTTTCGACGGTAGCTTTAAAAAGTAAATAAAAAATCATTAATCTGAATATGCAGACCTGAAAAGGCTGCGAAACGTCAATAAATAAATAAATAAAGTACGTGCATTAACCCGTTAAAACTAGTTTTATTTAATGAGTGATGTGCGTGAAAACCTAAGAAACAAATATATAATGCACCTTCTAAATTTCTATAATTCATACAATGCTATTAATATTTATCAAATAGCAAAGAATGACAATCATATTTACTTCATGAGATATGATGAGATAAAATTTAAAATTTGTTCGACTGATGGTGGAATGAAATACCCTGTCTGCTGACGTTGATGGCAGTTGAAACCAAAACGATTCTAATTAAATCTTTATCTAAAGAAAATATAACTAGAAAAAATTCCACGCGGACCAGGCAGCAGACGGGACTCGAACCCGCACCCTTCGCAATCCGGGCGAATGCACTGACCAATTATGCTACCGCGGTCCTCGCGGACCGCATCGAAATTCCTCTAGCCATTCTTAAACTGCAAGGCATCGCCATCTCTTCGCATTATAGGTAACCCACAATGTCAAATGAATACTTATACAAGTATTAAACATTTGAAAGAAGAAATAGCAATTATAGTTATAATGCTGCTGCCTGGTCCGCGTGGAATTTTTTCTAGTTATATTTTCTTTAGATTTAAACATTAAGCAGTTACATGCTTTTTAAAAAAAATAACTAAATCTTTATCATTAGATTTAGTAAGCACCGTTTTGTATGGCATGATGAGCTCCATTATACGCTAGTTTAGTAACAACGCTATTTACTCTTGTGGACACTGGTTTAAAGTTAATAGTCTCGTTAAAAGTTGGGTAATAAATCAACTGATACCAAATAAAGAGTATTTCTTTGTGATTATAGGAAATATCTTAAATATACGTATCAAACGAGGAACAACAAGTAAATATAAATTCCTTCAACTATACATAAGCACTACTCCTTTAAATAAATAAAATTTAGGACATTATAAGATTTGTGAAGTCTCAGTGTCTGTTTTATTTATTATCACATAATTATTCTATGTTGCAGTTAACTTAATTAAAAGTTCAAAACAGAAGGAAATAAGATCTCTTCTTTATTATTATAGGCATGACTCCTTGAGTGCGGGCCTGTTGACGTTTGAATATATGAGTTATAATGTGATTCAAACTATATGACAGCTGTGAAGTAAGCAGCGAGCGCAACTTCCGAGCGAGTGTGACCAACTTCGAGTTGATCGAAGGTGACCCAAGTTCTTGTGGCGCGCGGCCGAAATCAGAACTAATTTAAAAAGGTATTGTAGGGGCCGTTACTAGGACCCTAACGACTGTCAATATGTCAATGACGTCACAAGACGATCGTCGGGAGATAATTATCAAAATACGTCAATATGATGTGAATGCCTTTATTGCACTATCTTAAAATGTAAAATTTCCTTCTTAAAATAATTACTGGGTCAACTGTGTCAGCAGTTTAGACTTTTAGAGTGCATCGACTCGGAATGCAAAACTTAAGAAGATATAATTAAAATGGCTTGTACAGATATAAAAGCCTTTTATTAGTACAGGAAGGTGCAAATAAGACTTTTATATTTCCTATTACTCTTTCCGAGTTGTTATTAATTATAACACTTACTTTAGTGAGATTTTACATATTTAATATGTATCTCATTTCACCACTTGTTTTACCAGCAACGCCCTCCTGTCAATGACCCTACATTTTGTTCACCGCACCGCGAATTACGCTAACTTCACAGTCGCCATTGTGTTTGAATCACCCGCGCAAAATAATAATATTTACTTATGCAACTGTTGTAAAATGCGTATTAAAATACGAATGTGGGTTTATCATAATATGGTTTATGATAATAGTATCACATTAGTATTTTAATACCTAGGTAATTACGAACAGTTGCATACAAGACTTTATCTACATCCATGATATGAATCCGCTATAAAAAATTCTGAAACCTTCATTCTTAGAACGACAAATGTATTCTAAGAATTGAAAATTCATCAAGTTTCAACGTTGTGGTAGTGAAACGCGCGTGAATGACAATGTTCTTTTTTTGAAATTCATAATATGTACCATGCATCAAGCAGTGAAAATTGTGGCTGTCTGATGAGTAATCTTTCAGCGCGGAAGGGATTTAAAAAGCGAAGGAGTGTTATAATGAAATTTATTAAAAAAAAAATAGTTTAAAAAACTAAAAACACGCTTTTATTTACTGCACTAAAAAGCCAAAAATATACTGTCTGTTCACTTCATTAGGGCCTTAGAGTAAGCCACTAATTTATTTTACTCTTTTTAGTTTCAGTCATCACCGGGAAAATGAACAGAACATGTTAAGACGAATCTAATGAGCCCAAACTCGATATGTTTACTAGTAGGCAGACCAAGGTTTCATCAGCCACCTTTCAGTCCCATCATCAGACCAGCTCGATGGTACCATAATATTGTATTGTCATCTAATCGCAGGACCGATGGCCGTTGGGGCGGAAAGGTCCTCGAGTGGCGACCGCGTACCGGGAGACGCAGTGTTGGCAGCCCCCCCCCCCCCCCCCCCCCCCCCCCCCCAAGGTGGACCGACGATCTGGTAAAGGTCGCGGGAAGCCGCTGGATGCGGGCAGCATGGGACCGATCGTTGTGGAAATCCATGGGGGAGGCCTATGTCCAACAGTGGACGTCTTTCGGCTGAAATGATGATGATGATGATGATCTAATCTACATATAATTGCCAAGTTTCATGATGATACAAGAATTAGAACTACGTGTAATTCAGATTCTGAGATTCCATTACATAGTTATACATAGGTCGACCTTATAAAAGCGTGTTAAAAACATAAACGGTTTATATTGTTTTTTTTTTTAATTATGACTGGAAGTTTTAATGTTGGAAATAAGTTAACTGTATCAGAAGCTTTAATAGAGATTTTAAAGCATGGATATAGATAAAGTAAATTAATATATAATAATATACAGGGAATTAGAAGTCAACGGAAACTATAATATAAATAAATACTATTAAGTACTTCATTGTAACATAACGAATGAAGGCGCTGTCATCGCTACGTATAGAGTGAAATATCAAAACATAAAGTCTTGTACACTTATGAATTAAGTAGTTTAAACTAAGCTATAGGTCGCGGGTAGTGTTGCCAGGTCCGGTTTGTTTTAAATCGGTACATGAGGTCAAAAAAATAGGTTTCAGGGTTGTAGATTGGGACAGTAAACAAAAAACAAGTCTGAATTTAATTTATTGCGTTTTAAAGTACTAGTGCAAGTATATATTACATTAATTAGCTAAATTTTATTTTTTGATTAATCGGGACATTTAGCGTCCCCGTCAGGTCCAAATCGGGACGCGTCCCCAGACCCCTGAAAACCGCGAGTTCCCGCGCAAATCGGGACACCTGGCAACACTAGTCGCGGGTGACCTTCACCGGGTTTGGCCGAGATCCCGTATTAAACGGTAAAAGCTCTATTCGAGGTTTATTTAACGTTTTCCAGCGCTCAGCACTCGGATGGCCGATTCTCCATCGAGAATCATAATAAAAATGTCTTTCAAAAAAATATATAATTCGCGGTGTAACATTTGAACACATCTATACCTCGCGAACGAAGAACCTTCACCGAAGCCGAGGTACTCGCAGCCGACCTGGCGGGTGCGCGGCCATTCGGAGACGGGTTCGCGACCACACCCGCCCTCTCGGCACGCACTAGGGGGACCGCGGTCCTCATAGTGCGTGTCGGGGGACGGTGCAGGAGTATTGTCTGGTTTTCAGTGGCCCTGTTCACATCAGCGAGCTCCAGGGCTGGCCGAAGAGGACAGGGAGGAGTCCCGCATACCTTCTTCTCGCTCTCCCAGTGGTCGAAGAATGCGTAAGGCATTTTCCAGACACAAAAAAAAGGTACTCGCAGCCGCACCATCCATCGTCGAAATTCTCGCGACTGAAGAGTCTTCAAGTTGATAGTTCTAGGAGCGCTGGGTCAAGGTGACCGGGTCGGGGCAGGCCTGGGGCTGCGTGAAGAGTCGCGTGTATGTGACGAGCGCGAACATGAGCAGGGATCCGAGCGCGGAGCCCGCCTGCGTGACGCCGCCCGTGGCCCGCATGCCGCCCGCGCCCCCGCGCCGCGCCCACCCGTACACCCACATGCGGCCGTACGACACCACGCCCGTCACCACTACCCACGACAACACCTGGACAAGTGGAAACTTACCTTTCATTTCTGAAGCCGAACTTCTTTCCGGACGGGGTGGAAATGGAAAAATCCAATGGAAAAGATGAAACGGAAACGCTTCACGAGCGTTACGCGACTATGCACAGTCAGGGGACCTAAAAAGGTCAAATTGTGCAATATTGCTAAAAGTAATTCATCTACAGAATTCCTTGCAGATCATAAGCGATTCCTCTAATTTTCGTAAAATTGTCACTTAATTTAGCAATATTGCATTCATTAGTAGATTCAGATTTAGGGATCATGTTGCCACATGCAAATACATATTATAAACCGACCTTAATAATATATTAATTGCAAGATGTTGCTCTTGAGTAACTTTTTATGAATCTGCTAATTGACACTTCAGCAATTCCTATTTTGTGGACTTTACGAATCCTCATAGAAAATTGTCAAATGAATGAACTGTTGCGTATGAATTGTATCAGAATCCTAATATGAATTGTCGGCTAAGTGGCCATTTTGTGATTTTCAATATGAATCACTTTAAGAATCCAATGAGAATTGCTGAATGCGGCCTTTTTAGGTCCCCAGGTCATAAGTATTGTCACACAGTAAAAACTTTTCTTTTAGAATGCTGACCACAAAAAAGTTTATTGAATTCGAATTTCGAATTGTTCATTAAAATAAAAATGTATACTTTTTAGAATTTTACTCATTTTTGAATATTAGTAGACGCTTAAAGAAGGCCGTGTTGCAGTTATTGCGTTGTATCGTTGCGGTTACACGCCTATTCAAATTTTTGATATAATGAAAAATTTGAATGTGACCAAAAGATTCGTTTATCGTCTTAGATTAAAACAAAAAGGGTAGATATATAGACCAGGGTCGATAATTTTAAAAATGGGGAAAAGTAAAAAAAAATTATAGTAGGAAGAAACCCATTAGAAAAGGTAGAGAATATAACAAAAATGAAAGGAAAAATAAATTACGGGCGATCTGAGGTCGGGAAGGGGGAGGGGGTGAGTTTTTAAGGGTAAAAAATGGTTAATCTCGATTTCCGGTAAAACTGCAAGTTCTATGAAAAAAGTTAAATGGCAAAGTTGTAGGTAATAAAAAGATCTACAACTTTTGTATCGACCCTTTTTTCACATAAGCTCAAAATTTATGTGAAAAATGTGAATAACCGAGTTTTTGGTTTTTTATTTTTATTTTTTGCAAAAAAAATTATTTTTTCACGAAATTTGGTGAAAACTTACCTTTGTATGTCCTAAACATACAGTAATTTTTTTGATTTAAAATATTCATTTTTTCACCTTATTTTGACTTAATATCTAAAAAGCACCCTAATTTTCAATCGAAAAATCTCACGTCAAAATATCTGCCTTTTTTAAAAAAGTTGGGGTGTTTTTTGTTTGTTGAAATCTCTACTTTCTGATGGTATAAAAAAAAATATACACTACTATGATAAATGTTCTCAGAAAATGCAAATTAATAATGAAAAAAACTCGAATCCGAAAATCCTATTTTTAATACCTACTTACAACAACTATTTTTGCATGTTTTATGGATTTGTAATTTTTCTGTTTATCAATATAACATGAAATCTTACGTTTTTCGAGTAATTAAAGTGTAAATTTTAATAAATAGTTCAAAATTGTACATAATGATTCAAATCAATTTTTCGGATTGGAGTTTTTTTCATTATTAATTTGCAGTTTCTGAGAACATTTACCATAGTAGTGTATATTTTTTTATACCATCAGAAAGTAGAGATTTCAACAAACAAAAAACACCCCAACTTTTTAAAAAAAGCAGATATTTTGACGTGAGAATTTTCGATTGAAAATAAGGGTGCTTTTTCGATATTAAGTCAAAATAAGGTGAAAAAATGAATACTTTAAATCAAAAAAATTACTGTATGTTTGGGACATACAAAGGTAAGTTTTCACCAAATTTCGTGAAAAAATATTTTTTTTTGCAAAAAATAAAAATCAAAAACCCAAAACTCGGTTATTCGCATTTTTCACATAAATTTTGAGGTTATGTGAAAAAAGTGTCGATACAAAAGTTGTAGATCTTTTTATTACCTACAACTTTGCCATTTAACTTTTTTTCATAGGACTTGCAGTTTTACCGGAAATCGAGATTAACCATTTTTTACCCTTAAAAACTCACCCCCTCCCCCTTCCCGACCTCAGATCGCCCGTAATTTATTTTTCCTTTCATTTTTGTTATATTCTCTACCTTTTCTAATGGGTTTCATCCTACTATAATTTTTTTTGGTCTCAAAGATTATCAACCCTGGTCTAATACGGCACTAGCCTCACAAAAGTGATCCGCACAAATTGTGGTCCACGACCCTTATCGCTTTAGTCACAACTTGACATGCAAACGACGTACATGTGAACGCCAATAAGAAATATTGCTAATATTTTGTGTTTATATGATAAAACAATGCCTAAGTGTGTTTTTAAAAAGTGCTCAAATTGTTCAAGAACTAAAAATAAATGCATCACTTTGCATTCGTAAGTACTATAAAATATATTTTTTCATAAAAAATGCTGTTTGTTTTGAATCTTATTCGGTAGTGACGTCGAGTACTGGTCGCGTGATTGGTCGGTAATGCAGTGACCCGGATCTCGCCGTCTCGTTCGCGCTGCCGTGGGATCAGTTTTTGTTTGATGCAAGTATGAGCGTACCGTATCTACCCTTTTTGTTTTAATCTAAGGGTGGAAATGGAAAAATCCCATGGAAAAGATGAAACGAAAACGCTTCACGAGCGTCCCACGACTATATATATATATATATATGTATGGAAGTTGGAGGGTAACTCGGCGAAAACTGAAACGCTACGAGCGTCACACGCGACATGTATATATATATATATATATATATATATGAGTGATGCGTGCGCTGCTCCATTCCCCTATGCCTTATGCACAGCGTAATGTTAGAATGTTTAAGAAAAGAAGTTTCACTTCAGATGTACAATCCAAGCACACTATTTTTTCTATGTTAAAAAATATTGATTAAATAGTTCTTATTGGTGTCGATTCTGGCATGATTCTCTACACCTAAAATTAAATTTCACAACAGTGTATCCTTGTCACTCTCTATACAGAATGAAAAGGGAGAGACTGATGTTAAAAGTTTTAAGTTTAGAGAATCGTGCCAGAATCGACACCGTTTTCATTGTGAAACGTAAACGTCCCCGATTCATCATAGAGTATAGAGTGTATAAGGCGCTTTTATGATGTTGATTTCTAATTTTGAAATTTTATGAGTACCTAATGCGCCTAACAGGCGACTACCCAATTCAAAAGGACCCTTACCCTGACTATGGGGGGTGTAATATGAGTTAGGGAGTAAAAAACCCGATCTAGGGCGATTGGTGCGACTCGAACTCCCTTACGCCCTGACGATCGGGTAGTGAAATAGCTGTTAATTAGTTAACAGTCACTAACTAATCTTACTTTTAGGTTACTAAGTGTATTTATTTATGTGAGAATAAAAAAATATTGATGATTATTTACATATTTTCCTTTGATAAAGAGTAAAGTGCCGAAGGATTTAGAGAAGTTTATAGAAAATTTAATCAGATTAGAAATCGGGTAGTGTAATAGCTGTTTATGGATTTAACTATGAAAGTATCGTATGATTTTTTTTAAATATTGTTTTAAATCATAATAACTAACATTCGAAAAAAGGCAAAGCCCAGCCCACGTGGCATGCACTTACATTATGATCGTGTGAGGGTACTGTGACCTGTGGTAGCGATCCATCGCGATAGGACATCCTGTAGATGACGGAATTGGAACACCTTATCGGTAAGATAATTAAGATGTACGATCTTAACTATCGTAATAATTTATATGATAAGTTAGTTTAGACAAATTTTAATTAGATTTGATTAGAGCATACCTAATTTTATGCTTGAAATGGAGCGCCTGCCTGATAGGTCAACATGAATTATGATGACGCCTTATATTCTCTGCCTAGGTACCTTTTACGTATCTTGTCACACTAATATTATAAAAGCGAAGGTTTGTAAGGGTGTATGTTTGTTACTTCTTCACGTCTAAACGGCTGGAGCGATTTTAATAAAGGAGATTGCTCAGTTTCCATTCATGTTTGGCCAAAAGACCAATAATCATGAAAAATTGTTTCCTAGATACGAAATTATATATAAATTACTGTAGAAACGAATATTATTGACGGACACCCCTGAGAACTTCTATAAACCATATACACTGAATGATTTTGAGGTTATATTTGCAAATAGGTACATAGGTATTAAAATAATAAAAAACAAATAAGTTATATAGCAAACTAGGGAAATCAAACCAAGTACCGAAATTATGTATTAGATTCAGGTATATAAAGCATGTAGATTAATAGATGGTTGCCTGTTTTTAAAGTTAATAAGAGTAACTTTTAAAATCAGGTATCATCTATGCATTTCCGGTTATAATAAGGTACTCTGTGACAGAAACTGTGTGTTATATGTGAATGAGCCACAGATTAAAGAGAATTTTTAAACTATCGTTAACTAAATAAAGCTTATTATTTTTGTTATGTTTATAATATAACCATATTTAATATTTTTAGTGTATCACACCTTATGTGTTTATTGAGGTGTTTGGCGAAAAATGTATAGCAATAGACTTTATGATGTCACCTACCATCTATAATATTTGTCTTAGCACATTTGCATGTAGTAAAAATGATAATATACTTGTGGATATTAAATACCACAGTGTAATAAAGAAAAAAGTTTTATTTTAACGATCTTTACAAAATAGATTTGTTTTGATGTTATATAATCAACCTCGATCAGTCTTTGGCTGAATGTGAGCCATTAAAAATGATTCGCATGTTTTCAAAACCGGTAAAATTAAAAGTCCTTTTTAAATTGAATATATTATACAAAGGTGTCCGTTGAAATCTAATGACTGTAAAATAAAGTATAAATTACGCCAAGAATTACCGTATATGTCAATATTTTTTGTACATTTGGGT